TCTGGTAGTGCTGGTTCAGCACGCCAAGATCGCAAGTTCAAGGCTGATACTTCCAAGCGCTATGGTGGATCATCAAAGAGTTGGTCCAGCAAGTGGAAAGGCAGTTGGGACGATCAGTCCTATTGGAAGCACGATCAATGGGATGATTACTACAGCTATGGTCGTGGCTCTGAAAGACCTAAGTCTCCAAAATAAGGTCCAAAGAAGAAGAAGGCCGAGGAGAGTGAGGAGCACTTGGAAGAAACTCCAAAGAGGCCCAAGATCGACTTCAAAGATCGACGTGTTCAAGGCCATTGAGGATTGCCAAAGGACGCATGGGACCTGCATCTTCTGATGAAGAATTGGTAGAAGAGAAGGTTGAACTTGAAGGTCTTGATCCCACCGATGATGAGTTGAAAAGGGTTCACAAGGATGAGAATGAAGAGGATGATGGTGAGAAAGACGATGAAGAACAAGAACATGCTGAAGAAGAGGAGGAGGGTGTCGTGTGGACTTCATCGTGGACAGTGGTGCATCAGACAACATTCTTCCAGTTGGTGTACTACCAGAAATTCCTATGAAGCCACCTCAAGGTTTCAAGGACTTTGCACTTGCAGATGGTCGTATCATCCCAAACTTGGGACAGAAGGTCGTTCAGATGGCATTTCAATGTGGATTGGTTTTGACTGGAACATTTTCAGTGGCGGACAGCGCAAAGCCACTACTCAGTGTGGGCAAGATGACAAACTTGGGACACACTGTGAAGATGACACCAGAAGGAGGCCAGATCATTTTGAAGAACGGCAAGACCATCAAGATCTACTACAGGAATGGTGTGTGGAAAATCCCAACTTGGATTTGGTATCCAGGCAATGGAAAAGAGGATGCAAGTTTTCAAAGGCAGGGAAAGCCGTAAGACCTTTGGGTCAAGCGCTAGCTGAAGAAGATGCTGGAACTTCAGCCAAGCCATTGCCAAATCCAGCAAGGCCTACACCAGAGATGGTGAAGGCACATGAAGTTTGCCATGTACCACTTAGGTCGTGGTGCAGTCACTGTGTCAGAGGACGTGGTAAGTCGTTCTCCCACAAAGCAGTTGACCACAGCCAGGATGATGAGGGTCGTCCTGTTGTATCACTAGACTATGGTTTCTTTGGTTCACCTGGTGAACTACCGGCTGATGCTGTTGGTGGACAAAAGATGCCTGTTTTGGTCGTTCGAGATCGTTTCACCAAAGCCATTTTCTCACATTTAGTTCCTCCGAAAGGCACACAACACTACTACCCTGAGATTGCCCTCTTGAGGGACATCGAATTTCTTGGCTACACTTCTTTGACTTTGAAATCAGATCAAGAGCCATCTATTATTGCTTTGGCTACTGCAGTCAAGAACGCTTTGTCTTCACAAGGTATTTCAGTGCAGTTGGAGAACAGCCCAAAAGGAGATAGCCAT